GAGCTCAATATGCAAACTATGTGTGTGCTGATATGATTAGCTGTAGCAGCCATCTTGAATCAGGTTTACTCCAAAGGTTACAGCTCACGTTTCACTTTTTGGAGGCAGGTGATAATAAAAATGTAAAATAAAGTCTGAGGAGATGTAACACAGCACATAAACACGAGTACTGTTGAGTTATTGAAACTAAAAGGGAAAGAGGAACATTTAAACTCATTTCATTTCACCATTTACAGTTTGATGCTTTAATATTTGAAACTTTTTTAACTGAATCAAAGGTGTGTCAAACAAACCAATGAAGAGGAATTAAGCTATTGTGTTTTTGTTGCTTTGCAAACAAACACAGCATTTCAGGTCATTTGAAGAATAACCTCCTTTTATGTCAACAGAGTCCTTTGTTATGCTGCTAACATTTAAATGCATTAATAAAAATAAACACAATGGCCAAATTTACGGTGTACATTTTAGGACATCATAAAAGAGGATGGTGACTTTTTCCTCATGAAAGGAATATTTGTCAAGAGCAGGGAGATGAGAAGGATTGATTTCTGCTATGAGCCTCAAAAATCAAGCCATGGTTTATTCATTCATCCTGCCTGAGCTGACTGAGCACTCCAGAATTTAATCAGCAACTACGCAGCTCCTCACCGACGCCCGGTCGGTCACAGACACGACTAAACCTATAAAGCAGCTGGGGGTTAGCGGCATGATGCTTCAGGGCATCACGACAATATCAGCTGAAGGAAAAGAGAGTGCTACTCATTCACCGCAGTCGGATCGTTTTCCCAAAGCACCGGAGGATGGGGTGTGTCATGACTCAACTCTTGGCCCCGTCCGCCCTGAAAGTTGTTACGGTGGATGACGTCCTCATTAGTCACAACTAAAGGAAGAGTCTGGCCTGAATACATCAAAGCTACTGAAACTCCTATTTATCTCATTTGTATACATGCTGGATGCATTAGGGATCAGATGTACGGGGTGCACGGACATTAATAAAACACATACTTTTATCACCTGATTTATTCTGAAGAATGGTTCTCTGTGCTAGGATCATCAGTTTGTAGCAGGATCAACAATTTCCTGCCATTTAGAGCCATCAAGTGTTTTGTTTTTCAGTGCAGGGTGGCATGGGAACAGTAAGTAATGGCAACATAAATTTCTGTCAAATTTTCCATTACAAACTCAGGAGGGGAGCCAAAGTCAGCTGGTGGCCTTCAGAGTGAGATGGCGCACTTTATCAGCATCACATTCAGACTTGTTGCAGACTTCATCCTGCAGGTCTGTAGTAATGTGGAGAGCCTTACCAAGTGCCGATCTCAGCTGAAAT